GGTGGAGGCAACGACTCGCTTCGCTCCCAAAAAAGGGAGCAAAGGCATTTGGGAGACGGAGGTTCCCGGACTCCGGAGGAGCACCCAATTTTCGCTCTCCCTAAGTTAAGGGAGAGCTTTTGGGGCTCTACTCCTATCCAGGAGTACTCACCTCGACCCCTTCGCCCGGGGCACAAGGTTCCAAGCCGCTGAACAGCTGGTGTCTGCTGTTCAGGCTGGCTCTGACGCCTTCCCAAGCGGACGGCTCCAAAAGAGCCGCCATCGGCGCGCCGTCCCACCGGAAGATTCCAAAGATTTACCTTTTGACTCAGGTAGGAGAAAGGCATTTTATTTTATGGTGAAGACCAAGTGGTATCATTGGCAGCCAGTACTGCTTATGCAATTGGGAGGCCTTTTCCAGGACAGAATGCGTTTTTCTGAAATAATTTTATAATTTTTAAATCTCCTCTAATGGCTTACCTAGGCTGTGAACTCCTTGGATGCAATATCTAGACATGAATAGGGATTGTTTCTTGAGGTCCTAGTTCCATTTAATAACTTGCTTTTTGCCCTCATGCTTTATACTCGTGCTAAGCTTCCTTCCACATGAGAAATTCAAAGCCGCACTTTATTTCTGCCTTTCTGCTGTGCATCTTGACAAGTCAATATGTGGTGCTTATCTTTAATGGTTCTACTGGCAGGTTTCAGTTGCTTGAACTCCTACAGGATATGAGTCATATGAACCATTGAAATGTTTGTATTCTTTTGCCTGAGAAACCATAATATGACCTGAGTTACATGAATGTTAACCATCAGAAGAATGAAGAAGGTGTCACTTCCCTGTGAAGTCTTGGTCTCCTCGCATGGGTACCATGATACATGTGTTAGCAGTTGTTCAAATAAGGCACAAAGCATTTTAACCTTTAATCAGCACCTTGATTTAGATTCAGAAGTGTATTAATAACCAGTGGAGTTTTACTAAGTTTCTGTAGTGTGTGTCCAGAACTGAGCAAGGGGGTGTATTCTGCATGGGTTTAGATTTCTGATTACTTTTCAGGGGTAGTCACATGTAATAAATATTGTCTGATATGGAGAAATTGTTAAGCTGGGATGTGGGGAGGCTCAGGACAATACGTTTTCTCTAGAGAGCTGCCTTTGGCTAGTTAATTGACCGGCACTCTTCTTGCTTCCTAGTTACGCTGTTATTGCCTACGGATGTGCCAGTTGCCCTAAACTGACTTGTGAGAGAGAAGGCTGCCAGACTGAGTTTTGCTATCATTGCAAGCAGATATGGCACCCCAACCAAACCTGCGACATGGCCCGCCAGCAGAGAGCGCAGACTCTCCGGGTGAGGACAAAGCACACCTCAGGCCTCAGTTACGGACAAGAGTCTGGTCCAGGTATGTATTTGAGAGCTCCTGGGTCTTTGCTACTGTGAAGATCATCAGAGAGGTGATCCTGAGACTCTGACGTGGTCAGGCATCTCCAGCAACACTAGTGGGCAGAATGCATATGTACTGTATAATCTTCCAGGCAAGTCTTTCGTATGCTGGCTGTTCCGGAGCTTTTATTGCACGTTCTTGTTCTCCTGGCTGGCAATTACCGGCAGGGGCGGACTCAGGTTTCTGAAGGGGATTCCCAATATATAATCAGAGAGGAAACAAAACCTTTTGTGAAAAAAAGCTACTCATTAATGCATATAATTTTTCTTGATGAATGGCATCAAGCATGCTATCTTGAATTCCATGGAAGAAGGTATTTATTACATTTAAATAAATACTAAATTGAACCACCCTTTCTTTTTACTTCTCAGTTTGTTATTGGTCTAAAGTGTCTCTACCTACTTAGAGTGCATCTTACCAGTGCTTTTGAGGAGCACATTAGGATTAAACTGGATAATAAGGGTGTTCTAAAAATCCAGGTCTTTTACTTATTACTAGATCACTAGTTTCCACCTGTTCCATTAAATTGGGCAGGAGAGGCCTCCTCTTGATCCATTTGTGAGGTGGGACTCAGGAACGCAGCCCTTTCTGCTGTGCCTGCCCTCTGGAAAACTGTCCTGCCCAAAGTTCAGTGGGCCCCATCTCTGCTCCCCTTTTGGAAAGCTCTGAAGGCCTGGCGCTTTCCATAGGCGTGGGCCCCAGGAGAATAACCAGGTGCACAATCTTGGAAAGGGATGTTTGAGAGCCACTTTGGGTTAGTTAGCTGGGAGTAGATATATTTTTAATATACCGTCCATTTATATTGTATTTTAATTTCTATTAATATCTCAGGATCATATTGGTGAGATGGGTGACCATATCATCATTCATCATCATTTTAGCCATTGTCCATCCACTGCAGGAAGAAGGCCTCTTCTGTATGTTTTCAACCTTTATGGTCCTGAGCTCAGTATAAATAAATAGCAGCAATATAATTGTACGGGTAGATGGAGATTTCCTCCATAATATATTGTATGTACTTCTCCATAATATATTCTATTCACTGGATGGAACTACAAAGGAGGGGAAATCCACAATAGTCTATTACAGCTAGCCCTCGACTTATGACCACAATTGAGCCAAAATTTCCTGCTGCTAAGTGAAACATTTGTTAAGTGAATTTTGCCCCATTTTATGACCTTTCTTGCCACAGTTGTTAAGTGAATCACTGCAATTAAGCTAGAAGCCTGGTTGTTAAGTGAATCTGGCTTCCCCATTGACTTTGCTTGCAAAAGGTGATCACATGACCCTGGGACACCACAACCGTCATAAATACTACCAAGCATGCGAATTTTGATCACGTGACCGTGGGGATGCTGCGCTTGTAAGTGTGAAAAACGGCCATAAGTCACTTTTTTCAGTGCCACTGTAACTTTGAACGGCCATTAAATGAACTGTTGTAAGTTGAGGACTACATTTCCAAATATTCTTGGTCTGAATCTTTGAAAAAGTGGCAATTTCCAATAAGACATAATATACTGAACCTGTATGTCAAGAACAGCTTTGTGTTCTCATGGTATTTAAAATGCAGAAGCCGCCTTATAGCAGGCTAAATTTATCCCTGCCCGAAGGCTCTGTTTTCCATGTGGCCACTTTTATGCCAGCTTTTGCCCAGAGGTCGATGTTTCTGATCTTTCTTAATGAGCACAAGTGGATCGCCGCTGAGCCTTTTGTCTTTTGCAGTCTTGTCAAGTAGATCAGAAGCACGCAGGACCGTCTTTTAATGACTAAGGCTTGATGCTCAGTACAGTCAGACTCAGAGTTTCAGGCTTTCAGACGATGCGAGCTTGACTTGTCTGTTCAGAGAGGGGTGGGCCAGAAAAAGTAAAGGCTCAAGGATTCCTCTTCTTCTTTCTTAAAACGAAACAGCTGATTCATTTCTGGTTCCTTGCTGGAATCTCTTTAACATGCACAGTTAAGAAGTTGACTAGTTTCCTTTTCACGTTGGCAGCCGATGACATCAAGCCATGTCCACGCTGCAGTGCCTACATCATCAAAATGAACGACGGCAGCTGTAATCACATGACCTGCGCTGTATGTGGCTGCGAGTTCTGCTGGCTGTGCATGAAGGAAATTTCTGATTTGCATTACCTCAGGTAATTTGGTTGGAGAGCGTGTTGTTTTGTTTCACTAGCTGATATTTGCTTTTGCCTTTTTGTCTCCCCAAAACCTGCCGCTGTGAAATCACACCATTGGCATTGTTGTGAGTGCAGCAAAGTGATCCCAATGGTCGTATTCTTTCACCCAGAAATTAAAACTTTGGGAGACAACAATGCTGGGACAGGGAGCAATTCCGACTGAGGAGCTACTCGGTTCCTCTGAACATTCTTTCAGTCCTTTGGGAAAATAGATTTGATAGAGCACTTGTAGCCTAGGTGTGACTCTGGATACCTGAATTCTCTGTGAAATCTCTTGCAGTCCTTCTGGTTGTACCTTCTGGGGCAAAAAGCCATGGAGCCGTAAGAAGAAGATTCTGTGGCAACTAGGAACATTGATTGGTGCCCCCGTGGGGATTTCTCTGATTGCTGGCATTGCGATTCCAGCCATGGTCATTGGAATCCCTGTTTACGTTGGGAGGAAGGTAAGCATGAGCAGAGCGGCAAGGAGGCATTTTATAAGTCTTACAGATTGTATCTAATGAAAAGGAACAGGGTGGTCAGCTTTTAGAGAGTGTTTAATGTTCAAGAAAAAGGTGCCGTATGAAAACACAACGTCTGGGGCAGGAATTAACTGTTAATTCCATATACATTTCATTAATGATTAAAAAAGAACATTGCTGCAAATTCTTGTGATACTATTGTTTGCTGATTTGGATACAGTGTCATTTTGATCTCTTCTGGGTACTTCAGCCTTTTTTCTTTTTCTAGAGATAGCGCATGTGTCTTCAGGAGTACTACTGTATATATACGGCATCTCTATACTGATAATCTTTTCCAGGTTTAATTCTTATTTATTCTTGATTGTTTATGCACCAGATTCACAGCAGATACGAGGGAAAGAAGACCTCCAAACACAAGAGGAATTTAGCTATCACAGGTGGAGTAACCTTGTCTGTGATTGCATCCCCTGTCATTGCTGCGGTCAGTGTTGGTAAGATAAATTTTTCTTCTCAAGTATGTGCTAGTGTGCTTGAACTATTACTTTGCTCTGACTGTTTTCAGAGTGACTGTGATCCCCGTGCCAGCATAAAAGTTCTGGATCTGAATTACAGACAAGCCTATTTAAAATTCAGATGCAATTCTGCAATTACAGGACTTCATACAACTTAAAGGGGGTTTTCATGTTTTTTCTGGTAGAAGAATTACCGTACCCTATTTGCTCATACATTCCTAGTCAGGGCATCTGACTCTTTAAGGGGCCATCACTGAGAATTTTATTAGCCAAGTCAGAGGAGCATTCCTGTTGAGTTTTCCCCATTTTTTGATAATTCAGATAACTTTTGTTCAATTTAATCGGAAGAAATTATAGTGGGATTACACAGGTTGGTAGGGAATACATTTAAGGTGCTACAAAATAGTTTTGCGCAGGATGAGTGCAGTTGCTACTGTGTTTGCTTGAGAAAAGGAACCCATACGGGCTCTGAAGTTCCCCTATTGTCAGTTATTTTGGTAAATCACACTCCTTGCCTTGGAGAACACTCACCTTCTCTTTGGTCAGATTTCAGGAGGGATTCGGCCTCTTCCCTCCAGCTGCATCGTCTCCTGATTCTGCTTCACCCCTCTGTGGCAATTTCTTTGGGCCTGCTGAGAATTTTTCCTGCTTCCGGCGCTGCTTTTTGTGCCTGCCCTTTGGGGCCAGGTGTCAGAAGCGCGTCACTGCTCTGGTGTGCTGTTCCTGAGCATACTTGGTGTCCAGAACAGGGCGGGCGACTGACCTCTGAATGGGCAGAACTTGGTATTGTAAATCAATGGCTGGGGGATGTGTATGAAGCCTAAAAAGAGGCCTAGATTATTTGAAAGAACTGCCAAGAAATGGACACGTGTGTGTTTGTTGCTCAGTGGTTTTGCCTGATGGTGTAATCTCTCAAGCAACAAAAGGAGGTTCTGGGACTGCCTGCGCTTCATGGCCTGGCACTGGCCACTCCTTATCTAGGCAAACCTGAAGAGCAACCTTGAGAAATGGGACAATGGAAGCTCCAAGGAGGAATTTTGCCTTGTTCAGCCTTTGCCTCAGTCAGCCTCCCACTCAAAACTCTTTGCAGATTTTCTTTAGCTGCTTGTTCCATGCAAGCAAGCTGCACCTTTATCTTTGCCAGCCTTCTTGGATAAGATGGACTAATCCTGCTTTACTGTAAGGCTATATTAATAGAATCTTGTACTGTAAGTCTGAAAGGACAGACCTCTCGCCTTCCACTTTTAACTATTTGCTCCATCCTTCTTTCCTTTTTCTCCTTTATGAAAAATGCCGCCATCTTAAAAGGAGAGCCCTAAAAAAAGTGCTAAAATAGACGAAACCTTTATGTTTCTGTCATTGGGAGACACTGGTCCAGCATTTACTTCTCCAAAACACTTAATTTCTTTTTCCCACAGAAAGTCTAAGATCCTAAAATGCAGCAGCAGCTCAGAATTTAAAGTATTCCACCTTCTGCATTTGGCTGCGAAATCACGCTTGCACAAAATCTCTTATTCTGAAGTTGAAAACTAATATAAATAATTAAAGGATATGATCAAATTCACAATTTAAAAGTTTATTAAACTATGACTGATATTATTGGATTTTTATATATCATTTTGTCTTGATTTAATAAATCGTTTTCTGTTTGGCCAAAGTAGTTTAGAAAGAGGCAGTTTATAACTATTTTATATTGTCATAAGCTATAGAGTAAATTATATATTAAAGTTCAGTTTCTCTTTCAATTTGATAGCATGTCATACTTTCTGTGAACAAGGGAGTGGACAGAATTAAACCAGCCTCTTTAATCAGCTTAATGTGCTGATTAAAAAAGGAAGGAATTACAGCAGGGGCCTTCAAACTTGGCCTGTTTATGACTTGTGGACTTCAACTCCAGGCACACTGGCTGAGGAATTCTGGGAATTGAAGTCCACAAGTCATAAAAGGGCCAAGTTTGAAGACCCCTGAATTACCGAAACTGGAAGAACCCAGGTCATTCAATCTAAAAACACAACACCCAAGTAAAAAATATATATCTTGGCATGGCTATGATCAAAAGAGAAAGTCTTGTTGCCAGAACCAAAGATCAGAAATCAGAAATTGGTACCAGCGATAAACAGCTGGCAGGAAGCAGCAGAGTCATCGCTGCTTGGAAGGCAGATGACCGGCAGAGCCCTTTTATTTTGGCCATGTAATCCTTTATTTCCTTACAAACCACCCTTGTTTCCATGCACGAATTCATGTGTTGCCTTTTGAACACGTTCTTTTTTTTCCAATTTTTTTTTTCATCCTTGGTTTGTGCAGTGGTTGTTACCTTACGTATATAGATTTTTTCTCATTCTCACAACCTTTTTCCTTTTATTCTGCCATGCATAAATGATACTAACAGGGCATGATTATTCCTGGATCTAAGTTTCAATGTTATTGGAATCATTTCCCCCCCAGAGGTTTTAATGACTAAATAAAATCTATTAGCAGAAAAAAAAGGCAACAAATAGAAAAATGCAAAACTGTTTAACAGTCAAATGAGCTGTGTGGATTAAGGAAGGCAGGTGGGACCAACGCACACTTCTTGTGTAACTGAGCAAATGGCGGTGTGGAGCCGCCTGGCTCCATCCCGACTACATGCCTAGCACATAGCTGTCATTTGTGGGCTGAGTGGTTAGCTTGCTGTCCAAACGCAGGACGTTCCATAAATAAATCTGTTATAACTGATAGGGGTTTTATTTGAGTATAGAGAAAATACGGAGGTCTTATGTTGCAAAAGGGATCCAGTTCTGATCCTATGTTTGAAATGCTGCGTTTATCTGTAGGCTCTGATTCTTTTCTCATTGGAGTCGTGCTTCTTAGTAAGTGAGCCTGCATGGCATTGAGGCCTTGGAGTTTTTAGACACACGAAGTGTTGGTCTTTAGGCTCTGAAATGTGACCCAAATCACTCTTTTCATGTGCTCTAGACAGCCAAGATCTGTGATACCACTTAACATACGCTTTTGTTGCTGTTGTTCAAGACTAGCCTATTATAAACAAGGTTATACTTTAAGGTTGTTTCCAACATTCTCCTTAATCGGGGTATTTTTTTAAAAAAAATACTGTCCTATTATTATCACATAACTGAGTGTGTTTTCTGAAATTCAGTTTTTTATAAATTGAGACTTTACATTCTGTCTGCAAACAGCCAATGATTTTTTTCCCAAGGATAGTGACATCATGCTTCTTACTACCAAGGCAATCCACCTCCATACTGTATGTAAATACTGAGGAATCTCCTATTTGAGGCTCCCTTGGCCTCCTCTTGGCAGCGTTCCCCAACCTTTCCGGGTTGGTGCCCAGGGAAGAGGGGATGGTTGTGTCAGGGGCAGGCCCGCCTGCCCCGCTGGTTGTGTCAGTGGGGCTGCACGTGCACCCGTACCAGCCTGCCACGCACGTGGCCCAATTGCGAATAGGCCACGGCCCTCACGTTGGCCACCCTTGTTCTAAGGCATTGGGGGTGCAAAGAGCCTCGTGTTCAAGTTCAAGCCAGTTGGAGTATCAAATTTAGACAGGAAGGAAACAAATGAAAGGAACAGGCGACTGACACATTTCTGCTGTTTGTCAAGTAGCCACCAGTGCAGGTATTCCACCCCACCCTTTCCCACCATTGGCATCTATAGTCTAGTTATGGACACATCCCAACTGGCGAGAAAGCTCAGGGGCCTTAAGCCTTTAGGACAGTCTGGCAATGCTCTGTGTGGGAAAGCAGAGACGAACACCCATTTACCAGCAAAAAAAACCTCTCTCCCATTTTAAGATAGTAAGATAGTATATAAGATAGTACTTGCACCACCAGGGGTTAAGATAGGGCAATGCATTTGTAACATTACAGAATTGGATTGCAGTCTACAGTCCCATTGGTCCAGGTTCAGAGATGGAATATCTTCTGTGAACAATTGGTATCAGTTGCTGAGATGCACTCCTTTGGATGGAAAAGCCTTTTCTTTCCTGCAGGACTCTTGCTGTTTACTGATAGGCATCCTTTGTTCCTAGGTATTGGTGTCCCTATCATGTTGGCCTACGTGTATGGAGTAGTTCCCATTTCTTTGTGCCGAGGAGGAGGTTGTGGTGTCAGCACAGCCAATGGAAAAGGGGTTAAAATTGAGTTTGATGAAGATGATGGGCCAATTACAGGTAAAGAAGTAGCCCACTGTGGTCATAGTCTTGGGGGGAGGGTACTCAGGAATAAGGAGGGCAGTACTGGCCAGTTTCTAGGGGCAGCTTTGGAGGGGTGAGGTCATTCTTACACAATAAATTTGTAAAGACAAGTAGAGAGTTCCTACCGTGCCGGTAAACCATATTCTACATTTTTTTATCACTCCCCCACAAAAATATTTCTAAATTGCCCAATTATAGCTCTTCGGTATTCATTTATCTACTTGATTTATGTAATCACCCATCTAACTTTTATGTGGCTCTAGACAGCTTTACAATAAGACAAAGAAAACAACATGGGTCCAATCTAATCCATCATCCATAGAGCCAGGAAACAGGCTCTAACCCCCCCACCCCACCCAGGGCCCCAGCCTCAAGCACAAAGCCAGTATTTTTACTTCCTGGGGTGCAATTCCACCTGGTTCCTCTTGTTACTCTAAGGGGGCCTCTGGCTAATCGCCTTCAGTTTTGTGCTGCTTCACCTTCTTCTCCTTCTTAGTGGCAGATGCTTGGAGGGCACTCAAGAACCCCAGCATTGGTGAGAGCAGCATTGAAGGGCTGACAAGTGTTTTGAGCACCAGTGGAAGCCCCACCGATGGGCTCAGCGTCATGCAGGGCAACTACAGTGAAACAGCCAGCTTTGCTGCGCTCTCAGGAGGCACTCTAAGCGGTGGAGTCCTTTTAGGAGGGAAAGGAAAATACAGCCGGTAAATATTCTTGCTTGCTGAAGTGTGTGTGTGTGTAAGTGTGTGTGTAAGGGGGGTGCGTGTGTGCATGTATGTGTTGTAGGAGCATGGAATCTGGGACCACATATAGGTGGAAAATATGACTTTGATTCTGTTGTACAGCGCCCAACTTAACTAGACCATGATATAATGGGCATAAATAGCAATGAATTGGCTACTTTTCTGAGAACTAGAAGGCTTCTGTAGTTTACCATTAATTTGGTTCAGGGGCGAGAGAGCCGGTCCTGAACCAAATGTTTATGGCCATTTTTTCTCTGCTCCCAAGTGAAATGCAGACTCTCCTCCTGAAAACTGTGAGCAGTGGAGAAATTGTCTATAGCAGGGGTAGTCAACCTTGGCTCTTTTATGACTCGTGGACTTCAACTCCCAGAATTCCTGAGCCAGCTGTGCTGGCTCAGGAATTCTGGGAGTTGAAGTCCACGAGTCATAAAAGAGCCAAGGTTGACTATCCCTGGTCTATAGAGTGTTGAGCAAAGTGAGCTGCGTGGGGAGAGTGGGAGCGGCGGGCCCAGGTAGGAGGAGGTTGCTTCTTAGGATGAAAGAAGTAAAGCCAAAGTTCATCCAAATGGATAATGTGAACAGGAGAATCCTAAAACCGAGCCGTGTGACGTTCAGTTCTTTGTGGATGTCTCCACTCGTGGTTTTCATGTAATCAGAACCACATTGTACTTCAGTTAGGCGGGTCTGGGGAAACATCCTTACGCCAATTCCTTTCTCTTGGTCAGGCTGGAAGTGCAGGCTGATGTGCAGAAAGAGATCTTTCCAAAGGATTCGGTCAGCCTCGGAGCCATCAGTGACAATGCGAGCACGCGAGCCATGGCAGGCTCCATCATCAGTTCCTACAATCCCCAAGACAGGTGAGCCAGTCTAGCTAATAGTGCGGGAGATAAAAATCTGTCTTCTTTAGAGAGAGCTTTTATACAACTTAGCTTTGTCAAAAAGACATTCTTGTTTTTGCTATGTGTGGCTAGAAAACAAGAAGGCACAGAAACATTTGGGTTAGAGTAAATAAGTTTTCTGGTATCAGTGCAAAATTTGTGCATATTATATGTTTTGCCTCAGTAGCATCAGGTTCTGTGCCAGATGATAATAATCTCACATTTGTTGCATAAAACTAAGGTCCGTGTTTTCAAGATTCCAAAATTCTGCAAGTCAATTAAAATTGGGGAAAGCTCCCTAAAACGTATGTGATGGTTCACACGCTGGTATATATTTTATTATTCTGTCCTTTGTGCAAATCTTATAAAAAGCTTAATTTGAATGAGCCATTCAGCTGCAAGACTTCCTGTAGTGGGAAGGGCTGTGCAGGGAGGGGAAGTGAACTCTATAGGTGGGTTCTTCTCCCTTCCCATTGGGTGGTGGCCATGCCTAAAAGTGTGGAATATGCAGAGCAGCCAATAACTCCAGCCTAGTAAGGGAGGGAGGGAGGGATTTGGTTTGTTGGTGGATAGCAGATAAAAGGGTGTTTTGGCAGGGCGTCACTAAGGACCCTTTTGTATCCCTAATTCTTTCTTGAAAAATGTGCATATGCATGTATATGCATATGCATAGGTATATAAAATTAATAAAATAGTTTTTTAAAAATGGAAATTGCAGGTTGGTCATGACTTCTTTGCTCCCAAACAGAATATAGAAAGAGCTGCCCTCGCTTTGAAAGCTACAGTGACAGGGCGAAGGGGGATCCACCGTGCGTGTTCCTACTAAATTAGCTTTCCATGCCCTGGGAGGCTTTGATAGAGGGAGGTGGCCAATGTGCACTGCTCCCATAACACATTTGGGGCGGGGCTACACTCATTCCTGCCTGCTTCCTGCCTGTCCTCAGAGTAGCATCTGTGTACTAGGATAAGACAAGTTAATCTTACAATTTATTAACCTTGTTTGTAACATGGAGCTTCACATGGTGCACTTTTCCCACAGAGAGTGCAACAACATGGAAATCCAGGTGGACATAGAGACTAAGCCCAGCCATTATCAGCTTGTTAGTGGAAGCAGCACCGAGGATTCCCTCCATGTCCCAACCCAAATGGCAGAAAATGAGGAGGAGGAGGAGGAGGAGGAAGAGGAGGAGGAGGAGGAAGAGCAGCAAATATGCAACCACCAAAGCTGTGAACAGAAGGACTGTGTGGCCAGCAAAACCTGGGACATCACTCTGGCACAGCCCGAAAGCATCCGCAGTGACCTGGAGAGCTCGGACAGCCAATCTGATGATGTGCCCGACATCCCCCTGGATGACTGCGACTCCCCCTTTCCCCAGACTGCTGCCTGCCTCCACCCCCCCAGTGCCAGAGGGGCTGGGAGCCCAAGTGCCCGCATCGGCCACTGTGCCCAAGCAGACGGACATCGGCCGGAGGAGAGAACACTGGAGTGCCTTGAGGCCCGAGGATGAAGCCCCTCTCCCCCCCTCCCTCCCCCCCGGCTTTTGCTCCTGGTTCCCTGGGGGACTGCCCTGATCTGGACTCCGGGGACGTGGCTTTTCTTACATGAGGATAAAACCTCGGTTTTCTTTTTTTATTTATTGATTTAAGCGCTTGGTGATGCTCAGTGAGTTGTGTAAGAGTGTACATAAATGTGTGCGTGTATATTGTATGTTTGCCAAACACACACCTAAAGAATGCCTTTAATAAATATTACTGTTCCATTCTCATTGGATCCTGTTTGCCCAGTGAATTTGTCTGGATTTTCTGTTAGACACTTTTTTGCTCCTGAAGCTCTTTCCTTGAACACCCCCCCTTCCTTCCCCCCCGCCCCCCCCCCGTGTCAAAACATGTGTATTTGCTGCCCCCTAGAGGGCTTTGCTCCCTTTTAGGGGTCTGTTGCCTTCTTTGGGCTGGTATCCAACAGGGTCCGGATGCTGGGTTGGAGCAGGCGACCTGGGGTCTCTAGAGGGTTTGGGGGAGTTAGGGGGCATCAGATTGTTCCCTGTTCCTGCTACCTGGGATTCCCTGTTTTCAGATTTGGGGACTGGACTTGCCTAACAGGTCAGCCCTGAACCTGAAAAATAAAATAACAGTTCAATCAATCAGAATAGAGCTGGAAGGGATCTTGGAGATCTTCTAGTCCAGCCCCGTACTCAAGCAGGAGACTCTATACCATTTCAAACAAGTGGCTGTCTAGTCTCTTCTTAAAAATTTCCAGTGATGGAGCACCCACAATTTCTGGTGGCAAGCTGTTCCACTGGTTAATTGTCCTCACTGTTAGGAACTTTCTCCTTCATTCCAGGTTGCTTCTCTCCTTGTTTAGTTTCCATCCGTTGCTTCTTGTCCTGCCCTCTGGTGCTTTGGAAAATAAATTGACCCCCTCCTCTTTGTGGCAGCCTCTCAAATACTGGAAAACTGCTATGTCACCCGAGTCCTTCTTTTCTCTAGACCAGCCAAACCCAAATCCTGCATCCGTTCTTCATATGTTTTTGTCTTCCGACCTTTAATCATCTTAGTTGCTCTTCTTTGCACTTTTTCCAAAGTCTCAATATCTTTTTGTAATGTGGTGACCAAAATTGGCTGCAGTATTCCAGGTGTGGCCTTACTGAGGCTTTACAAAGTGGTACTAATACTTCACATGATTTTGATTCTATGCCTCTGTTTATACAACCAATTATTGTATTAGCTTTTTTGGCTGCTGCCCCAGACTGCTGGCTCATTTTAAGTGATCGTCCACTAGGACTCCAAGGTCCCTCACAGTTACTGTTTTTGAGCCATATAGTTGCTGTATTCGCCCAAATCAGTACCTAATACCTATGAAGGGAGGAACACCACATTCTAAGACAAAAGCTGAGATTCAGTAAGTTAAACTGCAAATATTTTAACCTCATTTTACCCGTCTGGTAAGCTGTATGAATTCAGCCATAAGTAATATAAATATTTAAAATACATGTTTCTGGTTTTCAGCTGCAGAAAGAAAGAATACTTACGGTAAATGCAAGAAGGGAAAAGATTTATATTATGGAGCTGTCATATAATGACTGGGTGCTTTTGAGTTTCCGCTTCTTTTTAAATACCTTTTGCTCCATCCAAAAAGGGTAGGAATATGGAACAAGGAACAGGTCTTTTGCTTTTTAACCCCCGGGTACTGTTAAATAGCATAAAGTAAATGTTTGTTAGAAAGAGCAAAGAATGGAGAGATGGTGTAACACTTTAGCAAGCTTTGTTTAAGGCTTCCTTCTCTTTCCCTCTTTTCTTTGTCCAGGCATAACAGGGCATTGTTGCTTGTCCACACTGATTCATATAAATCTGTCCTTAAATGCAGAGGAGGAGGGCTTCTTAGACCCTTGGGTGTTGTGAAGGGCAAGTGGTTCAGTTCGTCCTTTCAGAAGGAGAGGTTTGCATATATTACAAGTCTGAATGTTGAAAATGTCTACAAAGAAGAAACCTTTACCCGTTGCATGCTAGCATCAGTCTGCAGGGAGATTGTGGTGGGAGTTTCAAACCCTAATATTCCCATCTCAATAAAATAGATTAATAGCTCAGGTTTGAACCTTGAGGTTCTTGATACTCTCTGAATTTGATGGTTTCCTTGCAGATGTTTCAATGCTGATGAAGCTCAGAGCACCAAGGACCTCCTCACTCCCATCACATCCCAAAGTGGTACCAAGTCATTGGCTCTGAGCCCGAAGGCCCCAAGGCTGCGGACCCCCACTCAGAGCAAGAATCCAACATTTGGACTCCTCCAGGAAAGGGGAGCTGACCACCTCCCTTGACCGTCATTCTCCCTGCTCGGCTGCTCTAGGGAGCTTTTCCTTCAGAATCTCTTTCTCCTAACTTAAACTCATTACTCTGTGGTTCCATTCTGGAATGAAGAGACCAGATCCCTTTTGCTAGCTTCTCCTACCACGAAATCATTACTGTTCCACATTCTTGAACCCCAAGAGGAATGTTTGATGGCCCTCGCTCCAGTGTCATCCCATTGATTAATATCCTGTGCCTTCCTCCTGGCTCTGAAGGAGAAAGTGTTCAGGGAGAGAAACTATGGATTTCCCGGAAGGAACTGGAGAAAGTTTGTCTCTCAAGGGATGCTGGGATAACTTCCCCCATTCTCTTTTCAGGGGAAAGATCTGCCCTTGCCTCCTGGCTCAAAAATTAATCAGTTTGCTTCTGGACAAGATACCACTTGGAAATCCCAGCACTGTAAAATAGGCTGGGAATTAAAAAAAAATTGGAAGAAGACAACAAACACTTGTTGACATGAAAATTACATGGGGATGACCCTGAAGCCCAAGGGAGATTTTACTTTAAAAGAAAAGTACCCATGAAGTTTTTGTTCTTTTTATATTATAAAATATGTTTTATAGGCAGATCAAGCAGCTAAAACCTGTTAAAAAGTACATAAAGCACTATAAAAAAGGCCTACACAATGGCATAGCAAACAAAAATCTGGAACAGCAATAAAGTAGAAATAACTACAGTATAAAATACCAACAGATGTTCTCAAAACAATCTTAATCGGCTGTTTAGAGTTCAAAGTGGGCCTCCCTCCACAGACCGGATGCCGTGACTGCCTGCCTACCTGGGCACCTGGGAAGGGACTTCTGGCAAACAGCTGGGGGGGGGGCCTTGGGGCAAAAGACTCATTTCCGGTCTCTGTTTGGATTTCTCCAGCCTTTGGCTCCTTCTCTTAAACTAGATGGCACCAACCAAGCATGGCTAACTTCTGAAAGCTATACATGGTGAGACCTTGAAGGAATTTGGATGGGACACCACCAGGTCACTCCAGGACCAGGAGTGCACTACTGGCCCAAAAGCTGCAGTGGAGAATCAGCAAAAAGGAAACTGGACATTTTCACACTTCCTATCTAACCCTGTGGTACCATCTTATACCCATGTTGTTCAGTTTTGGCAACTTTTAAGATGCGGGGCCTTCAAATCCCAGAATTCCCCATCCAGCAAGGTTGAAATCTACATAGCTTAAAGGTTGCGAAATGCTGGCTTACACAGACTGCGCCCATTTAGCCAAAAACAAAGCCAAAACCCGCCAGAGGGCTGGTTTGAACCCAGCTGCCCCGGGTCCTACGCGCGAACGCCCACCGAAGCTGCCTTCCCCGCCTGGACCCCAAAGCCACTCCCGCCGCTCCCAGGCCGCCCGGCCGGGCCCCTCCGCTTCTCCCGGTCGCCGGGGGCGCTCCCAGCGCGGCGGCGGCGGCAGGAGGGAGCGGCCGGGCCGGGTGGGGCCGGCAGGTGAGTCACGTCTCCCGCTCGCGGAGGCCGAAGGTGGAGCCGGGCCTTTTGTTCGGGGCCTTCGGCCGCAGAGGAAGGGCCGACCTCCCGGCGTCGGGACGAAGGGCCGGAGCGGGAGGAGCAGGGGAGCCGACCAGGTACCGGAGCGCCGCGGGGCCGGAGCAGGTGGCCGGTAGAGGCGCGTCGCTCTCGGCCTCCTGCAGCTGCGACGCCGCGGCCAGGCGGGAGTTGAGTCGGCGACGTCCGGGCGGGGATGCACTGAGCCCCGCACGGCCTCCTGTGCCGACGCCTGGGTGAGTGGAGGCCCCGCGGCGCCCCGCCGTCCTTCCGCGGGGCTCGACCGGCCTCTCGGGGGTCTTCCCCGCAGGGCCCGCCCGATCCGCCAGCCGGCCCCTGGGCGCTCGGCGTGGTGGGCTGCCGGGATCGCGGCCGAGGAGGAAGGGGCCTGGGGACTGGGCGGACCCCTCTTTCTCCTCCGTGCCCCCGTCCCCCGGCTGCAGAGCCCCGGAGGCTGCGAGTCGAGTCGAGGCGTTGCTTCAGGCGTTCGACTCCAGGGGGATCGGAAGTCCGGTGTGCTGAAATTAGAAGTCAGATTTAGGTTTATTCACGCAACAAAAGGTACATCAACCTGCAGAGCGTGTCATTCTTTTACCACATTAGGAGTTTGAATGAGTATTTCCACTATACATTTAGCTGTTTTAATTTTTTAATTGGGAGATCATGCAGAGCATGGGGACAAATGTAAGCACTGCAATTAATATGAAAAACAGTTTTCTTATGCGTGAAATCCCAGCAGAGTGTTGGGAGAAAGTGGCTAGCTAACATTAGATGGAAATTTTTGCTCTTTCAAAACAAAGTTATCTTTATTTACTGTTATGACTATCACCAAAAAAAGCAAACAGTCTTTTCCAAATATGATTATTTTTGTTGTTATTTTGTTTAACACTTCCTGGGAGCAATTCTGCTACAAACAGCCTCTCCCTTAAAGGAATTTGCAGACAGCTCTATGCTTGATTTATTTAGCATAATTCTTTTCAATCTAATAATGAGAGTTCTGTGGCCAGACTGCAAAACTGTAAATGTAAATGCAAATGCATCTTTGAATAAATAGGAAGAACATAAATTGAACTAAAATATGGAAAAGTCATGTGCATTATCTAAAAATGATCTAGACAAACTATTTCTGTAATTAGAAAATTTTAAAGGCTGATAAAATTTAAAATCTTGTATAAAATGTTGTACAAAACATGCATTAATGAGGCTTTCTAAATGCCTGTTATGCAAAAACTAAAACTGAGCACTGCAAGGAGATTGTTCTGGTGGTCTGAAGTCCTGAATTGGTTCTTTCCATTCTCTCTCTCTTCCTCCCTCTCCCCCCCCTCTCTCTCACACACAGACAAAGTTATTTGCCCCCAAGGAATTTAAACTCAAGTGATCAAAACAGAGATGGGAATTCAGCTGCCCAACCAGATTTTAGAGAAGCCGTGTCCCCACGCCAGGGCCGAGTTGCATTCCAAGCAGCCTCTCTTGCCCCACCCCCACCCCCCATCCCCCCCTTCACACCTTGTAGGTTGTGTAGATTTATGGGATGTTCTGGCCTGGTTCACTCTGCTGTTTAAGCAATGGTTAATCTTTAAAGGAAGCCCCTGGTTCTTTTCCAAAGGAAATGCTATGTTGTAGACTTCCTGATGGCCTCTGCCTCAACCTGCAGGAGATAAGTTGGCTGGGGAGCAACTGCCCATCCCTGCTGAGGCCCTGGCACCACTTCTCCAGTGTTGCCCTGGAAGAGATCCTGCATGGCAGCGGAATATGCCCCTGGCACAGCCAGGGCTGCATTTGAGGAGCTCCTGCTGCTTCTGCTAGCTAGGCCAAAGTCTCAGAAGGGATGCCCTCCAGCAGCCCTGCCTCTCCCGCGCCCTGCCTCTCAGAGAGAAGGCCACTTTTCTCGCCTTCCCACCCACCCATGCGGCAACAGTAAGCCCAGACCCCCACTGTGGGCATCAGTGAGGGATGCTGAGACTGATTCAGAGCTCTCCCTCCAGACTTCCCCAGTGACTGTTCCCAGGCCCTGCCCCTCCCTCCTTGGGCCTTGCACCACAGACCCCTCCCCACCCAAGTTCTGTGTTCCTTCTGGAGAAAGAAGAAGATGGTGCTTCTTTCTTCTCCAGACAAGATCAGCCAGGTGAAAACTCACAAAAATTAATTAAAAACTGTAAACCAAGATAAAGAGATATCAAGAGAAACCAAGATAAAGAGATGCCTGTGAGATGGGACTTGCCTCCAAAATATTTTCACCATGTTTCTGACCCTTATGATGACCATCTCAAAGGGAAATCTGCCTTGTAGCTGAGGTTGCTTCAGAAAAGAGTTAAAGGAGGGGGGAGGGGGGGGTCAGCAGTGCTGAAGGGCACCAGGGGGAGGTGATTCCCACAGGGATAAGGCTGGGCCCTGCATTAGGACCAGAGGTGGCTCAGCAGGCCTTGCTCTCGCCCAAGAGGCAATGTTTGCTACATAAAACTTCATATTGTGTAGCACGTCTAGTTTTCTCCATTTTCTGTTTCTAACAGCCTCCTCCTTTCCTCTGATGCACAACTGTGTCCTGGAACAAATGCACTTCTTTCTCAGCTATGCTTGACACCAGCAGCTCCCAGAAACTCTTGATGAAAACAGGACTCATCCTGATTGTCATTGGTCACCTGAACTTCATTGCGGGAGCCTTGGTCAACGGGACGGTCTTGCGCCACATTGCCAACCCTCAAGATAGTATTTCGCTGCAGTATGCCATCTCTAACATCGTCTCGGCCGTCTCGGCCATCTTGGTAGGTTGCCTGCTTTCTGTGGTGCGGAGGGGTCGGTGGAAGGACGGAGCAGGCCCTGTCCCTGCTCGGCTGCCTTGCAGACTTTAACTGTCATGCAGTATTTTAGAGTCAGAAACAGAGCAAAAATCAGTGACTGGTTCTGATGGGCACCCACAAAATAAGTGCTGTTTGATCTCTTAATGATGAAGTTGGGAATTCTGCCAAATGTGGTATTAATGTGTTGTGACTGAAGTTGGAATGATTCTGCAGTAACAAAAGGCAAGCATAATTCTAAAGCTATTACCTTGCCAAAGATTTCAAATTCCTTCGAATAATAAAACAACCACTTTAGATCTTGGAATCATCAGAACTAATCCCTGCAAAGCCACCAGCTGTTCTCTATTTGCTGGAATTTTATCTTGAAGACAACATCTGGAGGGGGGGGATTGCATCACTGTACTAATCTGCTGCTGCTCTTTGCATGGGGTAATGTCCTGGTTTTCCCTTTACAGACGATATCCTGTGGAATAGCAGCCATTGTGCTTTCCAGATACCTGTCCCAAAAACCTCTGGTAAGCAGTCTCGTCCCTGTGGCAGTTTGGAGCAGAAATACCTCCAGCCAGAAAATGAGTTAGGTTTCAGGATAAGAATTCCTTAAGAGGCTACACCAGGGGTAGGCAACCTCGGCTCTTTTATGATTCATGGACTTCAGCTCCCAGAATTCCTGAGTCAGGAATTCTGGGAGTTGAAGTCCATGAGTCATAAAAGAGCCGAGGTTGCCTACCCCTGGGCTACACCCAACTGTTTGCAGAAACTCTTGCTAAGTCTTTCTTAGGAAAGAATGGATTAACCTTGAGCCTCCTCGTTTTTTTCTTTTACCACACCCTCACCACTCCCACAGTCTGTTTATCTTCAGGGCCATCAGGATCTTCGCTCCCCGTCTCACCATGCAATAACTCCATAAAATGATGCTTTAAGTCACACAGGGCAAACAGTAAACAGCTTTCCCAGCTACAGAGGGCATTTCTGTAGTTCCCTTATAAAATTTTATTGTGAAGGAACTATAACTGGACCTTTGCACGCAGCTCTGCTTGGTTTGTTTACTATATTTTGAATTGGGAGTGTTTTAGGCAGACTACAAAACTGTTAATAAAATGCATCTACAAATAGAATAAGAAAAACAATGAACTAAAATATGGAGAAGCCATATGGAAGTTGTGCAATTATTTAACATCCATCTATGCAAATTATTTCCCTAACATGCAAATTCTAATGGCTGCTGTATTAGGAGATTTTGCACAAAATCTTCTCACATATAAAAGTGCATTAATTAGACTATCCAAAATGCAGATCAATATCCGCCAAGCATAAAAATAATCCTGAATGGCTTCCTTCCATTCTGCGATGGTCCCCTTAAGAAACATTCAGTTTGCCATCGTCCACACTGGAAAAAACCTAAGTGCCATTTCTGGCAGGATGATTGCTTGATTAATTAATTACATGTATTACAGCTGCCTGCTCCAAAACTTTAGTTTGTTGGGGAAGAATTTCTCCATTCTGTGAACATGAAGTCCATTAGATGTTTCTCGGCCAACATGGGGGATCCTGGGAGTTGAAGTCCACATATCTCAAAATGGCTAAGGTCGAAAAAAACCTTGCTTTAAGTGATTCGGATGTCAGTTCCCAGATCTCCTTCCCTCCATTTGTGTTGGACTCCAGTTCCTACAGTTTGCAGTCCTAGGATTGTTGGAATCTAAATCCAAGACATTTGGGTGGTATCACATGTAACATCTTTTGAAATTTTCAAATGGCGTTCATAATGTTGTTTGATTCTAGTTCAGCTGGGTTCACGCATGACACGAAACTTGACCTCTCTTCCCCAAACTTCGTGCCTTCTGAACTATTCTGCGTTTGACCTCTGGTAATAGAAAGCCATTTTGCTGGGTTCACCTATTGCTCTATGTTTACTTCAAAACTGAAACCCAAATAAATAAACCATATTTTAACACGGTATGTTGGGTGTGGTATGAATTTAGAAAGTTGCATTAATTTTGTGAAGTAGCTAAGCTAATTGGCACAAGGCTTGTAACACTGAACCAGAGATGGTTCAGGTTTTTGTACGATGAGTGAACCCATCCATTGTGCTTTGTAAACTATGGTCTGTGGCTTATCTTCTTCTCTGAATCCTCCTGCTCCCTATATCTTTTGTGACAGCCCCGCCCCTAGCGTAAGAGCTTCCCGCTTCTCTCTCTTTACAGGGATGGGCTGTTTTCTCCCTCAGCATCAGCAGCACCCTCCTCTCACTCTTCTGCCTGGTGGGGCTGGCGGTGGCCATTGGCCTGACCTTCGCCAACAAGGGCCAGGCCCTCCTGTCCCTGTGCACCTTTGCTGACATGGAGGTCATTCAGATTGCCCAGGAGTGCCCCTTCGATCCCACTCGGATCTATGTAAGTCTGCCAAAAGGACCGGGAGCTGCTGCAGCCAGAGGGGGGCTGTGTTGGGGAAGGGGTTACTCTAGAACCTGGGCTTTCGTCTTCCTGAAGTGGCTTCCAGGGAAAAGGGCTTTGGGGGTATAGAATTTTGGGCTCAAATATCAGCAGCCTGGACAGGACGGCTCATCCTTGGTGGCTGGAAGTTAGTATGGGCGGGTGGCTCCATCAGTGGAGCTGCGGTTTCTACCTCCGAAAGTTGGTGAACCTATTTTTGACCTTCCCTTTCCTCTCCTCAGAGTTCTGCCCTGGTCCTCTGGGGGATCTCCTTTCTCTTGGACTCTGTGGAGATCATCTTCAGCATCCGCTGCTTTCTGATCACTCTCGCGGTCCTGAAGTTGAAGCTTTGTCGCAGGGGGAAGCGCAAGAAAAAGGTAAAATTTTCCTCCTCCCCTGTTCCCCGCAGATCTGGAGGAGGACAGTTGGGGAAAAAGAAGGGAGGTCTACATAGGGCACTGGATCTACCCCAGGTCCTTCTCCGCACTTTGGAGAAAGGCCCATTATGCGCTTCCACCCCCTCGTTCCCCTCCACAATACACGGCCGTCGTTCTGCTTCCAAATTACCACATTCTGTTTATGGCCAAAGATTGGGGGCTCCTTCGTGCTGTGACCCAGAGCAGTTCCTCAGAAGAAAGGAAGGTCTAATGCTGGATTTCTCTGTGGCACATCCTGGAGTGTGAATCTGCAGGATCTGATTATGCATTTATCAAACATTCTGGTTTAGATTTGAGCCTTTGAGGCTTTTGAATCATGTCTTAGTAATCAGCCCAGATTTAAATAATTAGTTGTTTGCAGCTCACTCATCAGTTTGCATCTCATTAAACCTGGTCTTACCAAAGACACCTGGTATCCCTTTCGGCTGATGGCCCTGCCTTGCTTTAAAGGTCTCGCTGAGGTTCATCACCCCGGAGAGCAGAGACTCCTGCGAGGGACGGGATCTGCTGAGGATGGAGCGCTTGGGCGCTGTGCAGCTGTAGAGGCCAAACTTGGCGCTCAGGAGACCCTGGCAGGCCAAACCCTCACAAGCTCTTCGGTGGCACCTTTCCCACTGACCCTGGTCAGTTTCACCATCTGACTTCACTGACCGCCGGGAGGGCTGGAGCCTGCCAGGCGAAATGCTGAGGTCTGCTTCTTCTTCTTCTTGTTCTTCCAAGCAATGAGCGGCCATTGTGTTTGTGCATTTCTTCTGCTCATCCTCTGGACAATGTTTCTAGCTTTGACGTCTCAAAAGAGGCTGTGAGCTAACCCCAACCCTCAGAGACAAGCCTTTTTTATTCTGATACACACATGCACGTGCCCGGGTGTTCTCTTCGGGGCAGGGCCAGTGAAGCTCTGGGTCATTCTCAGGAGCAAAGTCACCCAGAGTGATGGGAGCCTGATGGCCGGGGGGGGGGGGAGGCTCTAGCCAGAGAGAAAGGACCACCAGGGGTCAACTGGGGCTTTCTCTGGCATGTTGCTTTGTATTCTGTTATCACAGCTTAAGCAGGGATTGAAAGAAAACTATGACCTTTAGATGATTGGTTTGTTGACAAAACTGCAAATCCACCCTTACTTTGCTTATATCTGTAAATATGCAAATCGAGTGAAATAATGGATTGGGAGGCAAGGGGTCAATCAGCTGCAAAAGAGGCAGATTGGGGAGACCTCGTGTGGCATCCTGGTGAAGGTGGGGGACGTGAGCAGGGAGATGCCATCCCAGTTTCAGCCCCAGAAGCTCCTGGGGGGGGGAGGGGGGACGTTGGTCCAGCTCTATACACTCAGCCAACCTACCTCACAGGGTTGTTGTGGGGAGAGCCAGGAGGATGGAGTGCTGTTTTCTGCCTTAAACTCCTGGACCAAAGATGGAATAAAAATTTAACAAATTAATTAAAACAATTGGCTGAGAACTGGCCCTTCCTTCTCTGCTGGCTTGCGAGTTCCTTCTCAGCTCCCCACTTTTTGCAGCTTGCAGACCATCCCCCCTTTTTAGCCCAAATTCAAAGCCGCCTCTGGCACCGCAGCGCCTAGAATTCTAGTATCCTGCAGAAGCTGCTTTACTCTTCTGCAGGCGCCTTTTCTCGCTATTCTCATCAACGGCTACATCGTCTCTAGACTGCTCCATAAGTGCTGCTCCATAAGTGCTGTTTCTCTCCAAGCGGTGGCCCTCCATGTTACAAATCCCACCATCTCAGCTGCAGCCTGACACCGGTGGTCCAAAGCTCAGGGTGGGTGGGCAATGCGTGGCTGCGGAGGGCCTTTCTGAGCAAGAGGGCTGCCCAGCCTCCAGGGAGCAGGACCTGTCCTGGGTCCCCTGCCTGCCCACCCTTGGCTTCGGGGAGTGGGGTGGAGTTCAGTGGCCCAGAGCGGAGGGCAGGGCGGGCGGCCTTGGCTGCTGGGGGGAAACTGAGCAGGGCCACTGGCACGCTGCCATCTTTGCACCATCCCTATCCCCACCCCCACCCCCAGCCAGGAAATTCCACCTTGTTCTTGGGCTTCCTGCGACCAGAAAGTGCTGTGGGAGGACTGTGGCCCTTTTTTCATCAGGAGCAAGATTTTCTCACCTGTGCCTGAGCCTGGACACACAAGCAGGTTTTTATTTTTGTGGGTGGGGCAGGTAAGAGGTGAGGCTTTGACTGCATGGCTGCGGCCGCCATCTTAGCTTTTTGACCTCCCTGCCTCGTGGGCAGCCTCAGCAGGAAGGCTGTCTGTATGGCTGGAGCATGAATGAGGGCCCCTTGCTCCCTAACCCCGGTTCCGGATGTCCCTCTCGGAACTGTTACCCCTCAGCCTTGATTCAAACCTTGGCCCACCCTGCAGGGAGGTTGCAACCAAGAACCAAGAGACGATGCAGATTGAGAGCTCTGGCTAGGCTGTGCGAATGTTTACATCCAGCCCAGGAAGCTCACACTTGCACAACCAGCCCTAAGAAGTAGGTGAGAGGAGAGCAAGACCATTTAACCATTGGTGGGGTGGGGGAGCAGAATTTACCACCCAGCAACGTCCTGGCTTCTTTGGTCACTCCCAAAATGAGCTGCAATAAATCAGAATTTGTAATTTGGGAAAGGGGAACACTGGTCAAGGAAGTAGCTTTGAGTGGACATCTGAGCACAAAAGAATTCTGCAGGCTTTGACTCTTTCACGGCTGCATTGGGATCGTTTTATAATGAAAAGCAGGTAAAACAATCAACAAATAATTCTACACATACATTTTTCACACGAAGCTCCGGCTGGCAGCTCACATTGGCAGCTTCGGCAGGCTGCTCTCTCTCCTCTGTACTCAGGCATCACCCCTCAGCTCCCAAAGCTGTCGGTTTTGGGGTGCTGTGTTGCCTGGAGGTGGGGGGGGCTGGACTATCGACTGCACCCCTCCTCCCCCTGTGCTGCAAACCAGAACCCAAAGGCCTACCAAGGGGGTCTGATGAGGGCAGGGCAGAAGGCGGGGTGGTGGTGTCTGTAGCTATGACTCCTTTTAAGGGGGTCTGCTTTGGGCTGCTGCATATAAGCTAAGGTAGTTTGCATTCAATGGCACTGAATGTAGATCAAAGCTGGGCAGGAACGAAGGGCTTTGGACCCTCCCCCCTGTGCTTCTCTGCTCGGAAGAAAGGAAGGAGGGCTGCTTTAGCGGAGAGCAGAGAGGTGCAGAAGAAGACGGGGCCCCAAAGCACTTTTGACAGGTGACCAGCCCTAAGGGCGCTTATCCCAATGATCCTCGGCATTACACAGATCCTGGTTGGAAATACCAGGGCTATTCCATGGAGAGCATCCTCAACAAGGCAAAGCAGGGACTTGTACTTGGCTTATATAACTGATCTGCCAGCCGCTAAGGGTGGGCTAATGTCATTTTAAGAATTTATTATGCTAATCTATTAAATGTATATGCTGCCTGACGGGGAGTTGTCCAGGTGTAAACCGGGGTCCATCTCAATGACCTTTTGGCTTTGCTGGCATTTGCAGCTTGAGCCTTGGGCTACAGACCTCGCTTTCGCCAGCAAAAGCTGCTCTCGCACTCAGAGCCCTGCAGTGGGAAGACGAGTGGGCCACGAGGCAGCAGCATGTGCTGCGGAAGAGGCAGCTGCGGGCGAGGAGCCCCTTTGGCCAGCAGAGGGCTGACAGAAGGCCGGCTGGTCCTCAGGATGAGGCTTTGCCACCGCCACCACACCCTCGGCTGCACCCCACGTTGTGTCACATTCACACCAAACTACAGTGTTCAGGGAGGGGGTAAAGGAAAAATATCTGTGAGTCAGAAAAAATTCAGTAGACTGGCAGGTGCTCCTTGCTTCGAGGTCCAAGCAGGAACGGGAGGAGGCTGGCGACTTCCTCGGAGGTGCCTGGTGAAGTTGGGTGCTGTTTGGGAAGGTGGACTCATCCAGAGCCTCCTGGGCAGTGGGGAGGTGCTCAGAACTGGGAGGCACTGCTGGGATCGCACTGCAGCAGCCTCACGATGGAGGGGTCGCTCTTGGCGCCTTTGATGAACTCCTCCAGGGACAGTTTGCCTAGAAAGGAGAAGGGGGGGGGTCAAGCCCAGCAGAGGAAGAGGGGAGGCCCAGCCCCAGATGGGGCAGAGTGGCAAAAGTGCCCACAGGGACCCCTGAGAAGCCCTGGTGGCCTGCTTCTCCCCTGAGAGCCTTCGACTGCCCTGTCCTGGAGAAGGCAGCTTGTGTGTCTGCAGGCCCTCCGGGCTCATCAAACCTGGACTTTGTGCCAGGTTTGTGCCAAGTTCAGCTCCCTGTGCCCCACCTTGTTATTTGATAAAGGATTCCTGCAAAGCAAAGGTGTGTCGTGGTTTTAGAAAAAAATGAGCAGATCTGACATGGATACCCGAAGGATTTCATTTTTTCCCTTCTCGTGTGTCAAGTTAGGTGTTCATGTCAAACTAACTATACTGATGTCTTGGTTTTCACAGTTCACCAGGGGGTGCAAAGGGCAACTGCAGCCCCCAGGCTGGAGAAGCCCCCTTGCTGGAATGACAGGTGCTGAGTTCCTAATACTGGAATGGCACTGCTGCTTTTAAGCGGGCACAACTTGTTGCCCATGGTTGCCTTTTGATGGCTATACACAGGGTGAGAGAGGGCAGCAAACCGAACTCTTATGCGGGTATCCTTGACTTACAACCACAAAAAAGGACATAACATTAATCATTAAGTGTTGCAGTTGTTAAGCAAGGCATCGCATGGCCACACCTTATTTTATGACCATTTTTGCAGATGTTTAAGTGAAGCATCACGGGAGAGCAACTCGTAACCTTCCCTCTAGCTTTCCCATTGGCTTCTCGGCTGAAAGCCTGCAAATGGCAATAATATATGCTGGTTGTCAAGCACCCAGTGATCCTGTGACCGTGGACATACTGTGACAGTCGTGTGAGCATTGATTTTATATGTCATTTTTTCCAGCACCGTTGTAACTCTGAAGTGTCACTAAATGAATGGGTGTAAGTTGAGGACTACCTGTAATAGATGCAGACATGTTGATTTCCGAAGCAGGATGGCAGAGGCAGAGCCCGCAGCCAGGAGGGGCAGCCATCCCTGAGCCTGGAAGATGGGGTGGAAAAATAGGCTCCAAGGCCCAAAGCCAGGTCTCTGCTAGCTTTTCCTGCTTCTGTTTTTGCAGAAGGGGAAAACTGACACTCTTCATGCACGCTCAGCAGCACAGACCCAGATCCCCCTCCGACTGTCTCTAATGGGCAGCGCGGTTCATTGCTCTGAGCACACGGGTGTTTTCCTGAAAGAAGCTGAACATATGCTGTGCAGTGATGCAAAAATGACCTTCAAGATCTTTTTTTTAGGACAGCATCTGGCCACCTCATTTTTGTTATTCTTTATCAAATGTAATATGCTTGTGTTTAACAGAGAGGGAGGGAGGGAGGGAGGGAGGGAGGGAGGAAGGAAGGAAGGAAGGAAGGAAGGAAGGAAGGAAGAAAGGAAGGAAAGCTGGCTATATTAAGGCAAAATGCTAGAAATTACTACCCAGCAGTGCCTGCCTCTTGCCCGGCCTGGCAGAGTGGTGGGGCATCCTCCCTCCTCCCACAGCCCCTTGTCACTGTATTTAATCAGCTTTCCTGCCTTCTTGCTTAAAAGCTCTGGATTTACTGATGAGCTTGGGTCTTAATCTCTCTGTCTCCTCATTTACCATCATTATTGGTATCCATCTGTCGGAAGATTTTTTCCGTCCGTTTCTCAGGGGTTGATTCATCATCTGGCATCTTCATCACTGACGAGACCATTTTGTAGATAGCCTGGAGAAAAGGAACAGGAGCAGGATCAGATGCTGTAGAGGTTCATCCTTAAATCTGGGCTTTGGATTCTGCCAAGGACCCCAAAACTCTTCTGGTGTGGAACAGAGCTCGCGCTGAACTAGGTTGGCACAGATGGGCTGGAGGGGGCAGCCCTGCCGCGTGCCTGTGGGTCAACCTAGCCTAGTAGGGTGATCTGCTTGGCAGCTGGCAGCCCCCCCCCCTTGGCTCTACAACATCTGCCTCTGCCCACCTCGACCTGGGCAATCGAGGCCTCTCTAATCCCACCGACACAACCCAGCATGCTTCTCCTCTCCTAGAAACTGCTTTGCAGCTGCCGCTGCTCTGCCCCGGTATGAAAACTGAAGAGAAAAGTTCAGTGTTCTTCAGCACCTCAGGTGGTCCTCGACTTACAACCACAACTGAGACCAAAAGCAAGACAGTTGAGTTTTGCCCCATTTTATGACCTTTCTTGCCACAGTTGTTAAGTGAATCACTGCAGTTATTAAATTAATAACACAGTTGTGGAATGATTCTGTCTTCCACATTGACTTTATTTGTCAGGAGGTGGCAAAAGGCGAAAGCGTGAGCCCGGGACACAGCGACCATCGTAAATAGGAACCCGTTGCCAAATGTCTGAATTTTGATTCTGTGACAAACGGTTGTAAGTCCCCTTTTTCAGTGCTGTTGTAACTCTGAGCAGTCACAAAATGATAAATTGAAGACCACCTGTATTAGACATACATTTTTTCTTGCAGTTGTTGCTGTTAAATTGCCTATGTGCAATTTGGAAAATAAAATGTTCAGCATGAACGTTACAGTCCTATGGTGTCTGGGTAATCCTTGAGTTACGACTTTAATGGGAGCCTGCCCGTCACAATCGTAACTCATGATGGTCGTAAAGCAGGTTGACCACGTGACTGACCTGATTTTAGGACCATTTTTGCAGTAGCTGTTAAGCAAATTGCCCGGTCGTTGTGAGCCAATGGTTCGCCATAAGTGGGATTTTGCCAAAACCTGGAAGTAACTGCCAGTTTTCGGCAAAACCTTCTGAAAACAATGTCATGTGACTTTGAGACGCTGCAAATGTCTGTAAAAGCAATGCTGTTGCTGAGCACTTGATGTCCAGTCCGAGCTTCGAATCCGGGTTGTAAGCACCCTTCAGGCCCATCAAAGCTTCAAATGCTAAGCTACTGGTCATAAGATCATAAGGCCTACTTGCAAAGTCTTTTCTAAACCAGCCTGCCCCGGACAGACTCCTTTGAAGACACGACTAGACTTTCCATCATCCCCAGCCAGCATGGTTGTTTTTATTCTATGGGGAGAAGATGGGGCCATCCCAGCTCAGGAGACCAAATGAGGGAAGGAGCTCCCATCAGTGTCCCTGCCCTGAGAGGGCTTCCGCCTCTCCTTTTCTACTCCAGGGGCTGAGAAGGGTGCGCTGACCATAGTCCAGCCTGGCTCTCTGGGTCCCCAGGCAGCTCAGAACAAACCTGATGGAGCAGAATAATTTTTTCTGTAATATTTGGCCAGTCTGTTATCTCCCAGCAGACTGCGACTGAATATGTCTGCAATTCGCACGCACAATGTCATAGCTGGGCTTTTAACAATAGGAGGGGAGTCAACCAGTATGGCAGCACACAGCTCAAGCAGGCCGATCCTTTGGGGAAAGCAACGGTCTGCAGAGTAGCCCGAGGACAAGACTGGGCAGCAAAAAATAAACCTTTTGTTCAAATGAACCCAAATGGAACACTTCAGAGACACAAGCGAGGGAGAAACAGAGTAATGGCCAGATTAAGACAGTGACTGTGGTTGGAGCTGCACCTATTTTTATATGCAATGTTATTTTATGTGCAATGCACTTTTTGGACAGTTTCCTGCAATCGTCCCTGGTGAGAACCAAACCAGAAACAGTGAGGATAGCCTGCACTATGGGCTTGCAATGTTGATCAACTGACAGCAGAGGGTACTACATAGAAGGGCAGGAGTAAGAAGGTAAGATGGAAATGGAGAGGAACCTTTTGGGCTGGTCTTCTGGAACTCAACCCAGAACTTCTTTGCTGGATGCTGAAAGGAAAGCGGCAAGCTTGTCAACCAACTGCTTTTTAATGGCCGGGGGGGGGGCATCTGTGTTACTCCGTGGCAATACATTCAATGCCCTGATTATGAACTGAGCAAACTTATTAACGACACCCACAGATGCATTTAGCCAGGCAGAGATCCAGCAGATGCAGTCACGCAACATGCTAGAGATACCTTCAGTGCGGTCTGAATCCAGCATGTTTGATTCGCTTATTGTTTGATGCATTATGGAAATTCAGACCACTTCACTCGACTCCCAGGTTAACGCAGCCACTGAACGATTCTCTTGGCCATTCAGCGTTCGTCCCTGGCTGGCCCAAAATCATAATCCAGACTCAGGATTTGTCTGAATTGGAAAGCCATCTGCAAAACAGCAACACTCTTTTCCAGGAGACCTCCATGTCCAGGAATGCCCCACTGAGACTCATCGGCTTTCTTAGAAAATGGAAAGGTTGGGCACCCTTGCCTTTAGTTTTCTCTGGAGCTGTGCCCATGTGCCCAGATAAAGGGCAAAGGGAAGCAGGGATGGTGGCAGTCAGGAAGACCTCTCAAAGCCATGCTTCACAAACAGTTTGGGCAGCCATTGTGGGAAGGACTTGCGACCTCCAACTACAGGTTTCCAAGTTTCCCACACCAGTGCATCAAGCTTCTCCCCACAAAAAACCTCCCCCTTTCCAACTTCACATGGATGTAAAGAGGTGCCCCTCCCCAAAAATGGGAAGTCGCCAGCTGGGGGCACCTGCCAGGTATGGTGAAAAAAGCCAATACGGCAACGGCCGAGCTTTGAACGCTCCATTGTGGCTGCCACCTTGACTTTTTTGACATATTCTGCTGACCCCCATCAGCCCTTTCTCCCCCCCTCGCCTGCCGTTTTCCAGGTGCCTTGGAGCAGGTCCTGAGCTTCTCTGAGCCCGTCCATTGCTGCGGATCGTCCACAGCCATGGTGAGTGGGAGCCCTGATCAGCCTTCTCCTTTGCGAATGGGCTTCCCACTTCACTTTTCAAGCCCCTTAACTCCCCCCCCCCCGTTTCTGGTAGAAGAGGTGGAGAAATCTCTTCCTTTCCTTGCTCCTGACACCCCCACCTTTGTCCTCGTGGGGATGAGGTTGAGATGCACTGTGTGGGAAAGAGGCTGAACCCTCTTCTCCACACTCTGCATAATTGTTATTAGGACTGTGCAAGAGTGTGGATGTGGTCTTGGGAAAGAAGAAAGAGCAGTGAACCATTTTGGAAGGCTTGATTAAGCAGAAAGCACAAAAAGACACCCAAGCAACTCCATCTTGATTTTGTGTGCTATAAGATGGGGCAAAGAGAACTTTAAAGAACCTGTAAACCCCTCCCCCTCTCACCACTATGGAGATTCGTGGAATCCCTGCTGCTCCTGATTCCTGATCTGGCTTATTTCACAGGGCTGACGTGATCTTGTGCAAAACACATGATGACATTTTATCAACTGGAAGCCAGTCCTAGGTTTCTGGAGGACCCAGAGGTCTCTGCGCCTCGTCTTGGCGTTCAAATGCTTTAGACCTCTAAAACAAGCATCTGATACAGGAGGGTCCTCAGTTTCCATCTACCTGCATTAAGAAGGTCCCCTCTCAGCAATGTTCTTTTTTTTCTTCCTCAGAAACTTTGTCCCTATTAAAATTCAGTTACAACCCACAGTCCAAAAGATTCACAGCCGTCTTGCAGAAATCTGGATTTTTTTCTGGCATTCCCCAGAAACCTACCAGTAGCTGCCTTAGCTCGGATGTGATCAAAATCAACAAATTGTATCTCAGTGTGGAATAAAAAGGAATCCACAAATTGAATTTGACTTTTAAAGCATTCCTACTCACCTTCTGGGCAGGTGGGGGAATATTCGCAGAAGATACTGTTTTTAGAAAACAATAAAACATATTTTTCTCCTGGAAAATATCACCAAGTGAAGGTTCATTGATGCAACATTGTTCACAGAACATATTAAGCTGCACTCTGGCACGGTGTACACTGTGAGCCTAACTGTGCTTTATTCAATAAACCACACCAAAAAAACAACAACGGCTTAACGTGATTTGTCTCTCATCCCTGTTCCTACCTGGGAATCAGTTCTGAAAGCTGCCAATGCCCAGAAATATAACCTTGGACCCCTTTGCAGGTCTAATCCATTCTACATGTCCATAAAATGAATCTCTGGTGTCTACAAAAACACATTTAGAGGGAGCAGAAGAGAACTGTAGGAAAGCGAGAACACAAGTAGCCTTTACCACCTCACAATTTCCTTACTCTAATCTGTCCTCCTCTGCCTGCAATTCTGTCTCCATCCCCCCCCCCCCGTGCAACCTGCATTTACAGCCAGCAGAGGCGAAGGGGGGGGGGTGTCGGGTTTTTGTGCTGAGCCAATGAAGACAGTATCAGGGGTATCCAAAGACATTTTTTTCCAGGGAATTTCTAGATGGCTCTGCTGCCTCCCACACTGAGCATCCTGTTCTCCCACGCAGCTTCTGCTTTTCCTTTCATTCTCCAGAAGTCATGATGGAACGAAAGGCAGGAGAGCCACATCTCCCCCAGCCGATGGTGCTAGGACCTCTGCAGTGAAAGCAGCCAGATGCAAAACAGCTGACAGGGACAACAAACCGAGAGAAAAATTGGTGGAAAACTCTGTTCTCCCTCTGCAGCTTCAAGCCCTGTTCTGACCGGCTCTGCCTCAATCTGAAAGCTAAAAGCTTTAATCAGTTTAATTGCTAGATTAACAGCACACTTAAGATTAGTTACTCTTTGCAGACTGGATTTTCCCACTCAGTAATTAGGGTCCCCTGTTTTAATCACTTCACTCAGCATATTAACCCATGGCTTTAGTTGATTAATTGGGGAGGGGAAGATCTTTGGGGGTGGGTGGACAATTTTAAGAGCCAGGAAAGCCAACTTCAGGGCCCATTCACTTAGGACAGTGATGGCAAACCTTTTAGAGGCCGAGTGCCCAAACTGCAACCCAAAACCCACTTATGCATCATCGGGTGCCGGGTGGGTGTGGCCCATTGGCTGGGTGTGGCCAATTGGGGTGTGTGGCCCATTGGGTGGGCGTGGCTGCAGTGGTAACGGCAGACTGGGTGGGACTAAAAAGTTCAATCAATCAATTCCAACTTTGCAAAATCTTTTCAATCAATCAATTCCAATTTTGCAAAATCTTTTTTTTTCCCCGCGAGAAGTTGAAATTGATTGATTGATTGATTGAACCTTTTTTTTTTTTACATGGCGGCAGAGGTCTAAAGCGAAAAGGTTTTATAAAACCCAGCTGAAGGCCTAGGACTGAGGCGACAGCGCGCGTGCCCACAGAGAGGGCTCTGAGTGCCGCCTCTGGCACCCGTGCCATAGGTTCACCACCACTGACTTAGGATGTCTGTTTTAGCTACTTTGGCTTCTTGGTTGGATTAAGGACATTTAGATATTAAGAATATTGGGGTTCCCAGAAGTCAGGAAGATGCTGTTTTAAAAGGACAAGACCCAGAAATTAGGCACAAAAGGCTGTGAATTCCTCAGTTCTTCCCACTATTCATCCTTCCCCATTTCATCTGACCGCAAAAGAGCCTGTTGTTGGGGCAGCTGCCCAGAGCTTGGGGGAAGGACGGACGGACAGAAGGAAGGAAGGAAGGAAGGAAGGAAGGAAGGAAGGAAGGAAGGAAGGAAGGAAGGAAGGAAGGAAGGGGGGGAGTGAGGGAGGGAGGAAGGGAGTGGGTGAGCTCTATAATGTAGTTTATGATTTCATGACTGCCAGTTCACCAAACCTTCATGCTCTGTGGTGAGTTCACCTAACATGTTAATTTTTACTAAGCCTCTTTTAAAAACTAGCAAAACCTCTACACCACCGTATCCCAGGCTAGCAATCCCCTGGGGGGCTGGCATGCTGTGGGTGTTTCCGTCTCGCCGTGACCCTTAGGCTAAAGTGGGCAGGCTGTCGAAAGACGCTTCCCTGGCTGGATCATGGGGCTGGGCCTGAGTTGAGGTCTAGCCACCGATGAAGACTCAGCTATCGTGGGTGGCACAAAGATCAATAAAGGTTTCTCTTGGGAGGTGTCAGGACTTTGCTGGCGTGGGGGGGGGAAATGGGGGGGCTCACCTGGACAATCTCCAGCATCTCTTCCCTGCTGATGTAGCCGTTGCCATCCAGGTCGTACATGCTGAAGGCCCACATCAGCTTCTGCTCCAGCTTCCCCCGGGAGGTGACGCTCAGCGCAATGATGAACTCTCGGAAGTCGATGGTGCCGTCGCCATTGGTGTCGAAGGTGCGGAAGACGTGCTCGGCGAACTTGGAGGCGTCCCCATAAGGGAAGAAGTTGGCGTAGATTTTCTTGAACTCCTCCACGTTGAGGATGCCAGTGGGGCAGTCCTTCAGGAAGCCCTTGTACCACTCCTGGAGCTCCAGGTCGGAGAACTGGGTGTTCTCCCGCAGGTCTTGGAGCATCTCTGGACGCAGTTTGCTGTTCTGCTTTCCCATGGCTGAAGCGGGAGGCGAGCTGAAACACACGGCACAAAGAGAAGCTTGGCATGGACTTGGCCCCCAAGCCTGGCCCTTTCCCTGCCTGTCTCCCCATTGCCCGCTTGTGTACACGGACGTCTGCATGCAACCCTGAGTGGTTGTGGTCTCATTTGGACTCAGCAGCAAGATCAAGGATGGGGGGGGGGGGTGTTGGAAAGGAAAGCTTTGCTTCTCCTGCACTGACCAGATTTCTGACTCAAGGCTGCCTTTTGGGAAGGGAGAAAAAACGAACTTTTCCAGCACATTCGCTTCCTCTCCATCAATGTCTCTCAGCAGCTGTCGCCCTGTATTCCACAAAAGCTGCACTGTGTCAGCCCGGCATGGCTAGCTCCACATGCCAGTCCCCTAGCACCGATCTCCTCAACCAAAGGGCTTTTTAAAAGCAGAACGTGCCTTTGATTACGTTAAGGTGTGTGTGTGTGTGGGGGGGAACAGAAATGGAAAATGGGCAACAGCGCCAGTCACAGATAACTGCCCAGCACCCACTTTCACATCCCACAACTTCCCTTTAGAGCACTCGCTAGAGTGGGGGATTCTGGGAAATATGTGCACAGGAGACCCACAATGCTCGGCTCCTGCTTGCCTCCAGCGAGGCTGGAAGCAGAACTGACTGGAAAGAACATTTTGCTGCCGGTGGCTCAGCTCTCCAAAAGGAGGTCACGGACTGATTGGAAATCTGCTCTGGATTTATGGTATTTCAGAAATTAGCCTCCTGTCCGTGGAGATAAGAAGACAGGGGACATTTTGTACCACTTGGCACCTCTGCCAGCTTCCGGCTTTCTGACCACGGAGTGCAAAGCATTTAGAAACACGATTACGATGTACCATTAATGCTAGACATATACTAGATTATTTATTCATTTTTATCCCATTTTTATAGATAGCTTGAGGCAGCAAAAATACCTAACATTATTTACATTTATTCCTGGTCATTTATTTATTAGATTTTTACTCAAGCTTTATTACGTTATAAATAACTCAAGGCAGTTACCTAATCCTCTTCCCCCTTCTATTTTCCCCACAACAGCCCTGTGAAGTGGGTTGGAAAGGCTGGCCTGAAGCCCCGTTGATGATCCTAGCCTGGCCTCTAATGCCTTTTCCCCTACAAGAGAATGAGTTGCCCCTCCCTCCGTCCTTGGATCACGTCTCTGTAAGGGTGAAAACCCCGACTGAATCCTGGAACAGCGAAGGACAGTTCTGCCCAGTGGTGGGAGGAAGCAGGGGTGATCAATGATGAAGGCCGCAATCTGCCCCTTTTTCCTGTATTGTGCATACAACATATATATAAAAAGCAGGAGACCCCTGATTGCACATTCATAGCAGGGATCTCGAGTTTTTACCTTCAACCTGGACACCTTAGCCAAGAAAGGCAACATCATGGGGTGGGGGCAGAAAACTGGCTGTCAAGTCAATTATAGATACTTATCAGCAGGCAAATGGTGAGGTGTTCCCATTCCCTTCTCTCTCTCTCTCTCTCTCTCTCTCTCTCACACACACACACACACACACACACATAGAGAGAGAAAGAGAGCGAGAGAGCGAGAGAGCGAGAGAGCGAGAGCAAGAGAGAGAGAGAGAGAGAGAGAGAGAGAGAGAGAGAGAGAGAGAGAGAGAAACGATCTAGGAGTCCTAACAGACAATCATTGCTTGGGCGGGGGCTAGACTAGATAACCTACAAGGTCCTTCCAACTCTGTTGTTCTGTTCTGTTCTGTTCTGTTCTGTTCATGAGCCAGCCGGGTGCTGCAGCTGCCAAAAAAGCCAATGCAGTCCTGGGCTGCATCAACAGAGGGATAGAATCAAGGGATAGCACTGCTTTACACTGCAATGAAGAGTCCATACCTGAATATTCTGTACCATTCTGGTCACCACGATACGACCCTAAAAAGACTGCAGGAAAGAGCAAAAAAGATGACAAAGGCTGGAGGCTAAGTTGCATGATGAACAACTGAGGTTACGCCTCAGTTACGCCTAGTCTATCAAAGAGAAGGATGGGGGGGGGGCATGATAACTGTCTTCCGGTACTTGTGGGACCGTCACAGAAGGGACTGACTTATTCTCCTGAGGGTAGGACAAGAAGTAATGGGTGGAAGCTTGTTAAAGAGAGGTCCAACCTAGAAGACCAAATTTTGGTCACCATATCACAAAAAAGATGTTGAGAATTTGGAAAAAAATCAGAGAACAACAACTAAGATGATCAAAGGCCTGGAGACTAAGACATGTGAAGAACAGCTGCGGGATTTGGGTCTGGCTAGTCTAGAGAAAAGAAGAAATAGGGGTGACATGATTTCAATGTTCCAGTATTTGAGAGGCTGCCACAAAGAAGAGGGGGCCAGGTTGTTCACCAAAGCACCAGAGGGAAGGATGACATAAAACCAGGTCAGTCAGGTGATTGACCTGTTTTATAACTATTACAACATAAGACTGCAAAGGGCAGGCTCCATTAAGGTCCTTAGTCAAGGACAAGCAGCCTTTTCGTTGTTGCTGTTGCTCTTATCACCCCAAATAATTGGTATCCTCAGACCAATGTAACGGAGAGCATTGCTCATCTCCCAGCCCAGATCATTTGTGAGGGAGCTATAAAGTGTCTCCCACATAAAGATTTCTGAGGAAATCATCCCCTTTCGCCCTCCCTCTTGCACATTCCCTGGGGTCAGGGCCTGCCGTTCTCTCTCCTTTAGATGTACATCCCAAAGGGCTGTGTAGAGACCTGGATTCAAAGGGCAAAAGGAGTCATCGAACCAAAGAGGAGACATGGAACATGTGCAGGCACCAATATGGCGCCTGCAGGGAAAGGATCTTTCCTTGGGATTGTGGGAGCCGCCCTTTGCTGCTCGTTTTGTGGCAAGATCCCCTCCGTGGGACGGTGAAGAGGGATTTCAACAGGGACATCCACAGGTACGGTCAAAAAAGATATGCAGCACACATAAAAAAAATACCCAGAGCTTAGTTTGAATCGCGGTATCGTACCCACCATTTTTCCTTTTTCTAAATCATACCTTGCAGATCAGCCTGGATGCCACCCAAGGAAGCAACGAGAGGGGAGAAGGACAGAACGTGCCCCCCCCCCCAATTCTGGAAGCTGTTTTAAAGTTCGGAGGTTGGGAGGTCAGGCAAAATTTCTTACTGGAGGCAAAGCAAAAATGGCTCAAGCCAAATCTACCTATTTGGAATAAAAAGTGGCTTCTTTGGCCTCTTCCTCGGGAGGAATTTCACCAGCATCTCCCTCCAGACTGTCTCCCATTGCAAAATCGTGCTCTGGGAAAGGGTGGCGGCACGGCTCCCCACTCACACAGGCAGCAGATGGGAGCCCTGATGGCCGAGGGCTGGAAGCAGCAGCGGGGAGAACAAGACAGGCAGAACTCTCACCTGAAATGCCAGCTGAAGGCCGGGGCCGAAGTCATGCCCCCCTCCCTTTGGCATCTGGGAACGGATGGGGGAAATCATTGGGAGCCTGTGCATTTTGGAGGGTGAAGAAGCTGGATGACCAAAAGAAGGCTTCCCAGGACTCGCCCATTTCACCCTATAAGGCCCCCTCCCAGAATGGCCCTTGGATCCACCTGCTTTTGGAGTGGAGCCGGAGACACGCTGCACAAAGCCTGGGGGGGGGCTTCTGAGGAGGTGGAAAAGGTGGGCTCCAGCCAGAAGGCACACAGGGTAGCTGGACATTAAAACAAAGTTGCAACCACCACCGTGATTTATTTTTACCCTTCCCAGTATCCCTCCCTAAGGCCTTCGTGGGAATTCTGTACAGAGATTGCAAAAGGACTATGGGACCAGCAGGGTTCAGGCTGGTCCACACAAGGATGCTTCTCCCCATCCACAGGGAGCCCATTTCAACTGCAGCCACTATTCAGTTTATAAACAGCACAAGGGATCCTTAGAACTGAAATTCCCTCCCCTAAACAGGGGAAACTGCCCAGCGCCAAACACTCAGTTGGGGAACAGTTGAGACTGTTGCAGGAGGAGGCCCCTTTCCCAGCCCAGCCAGAGGAAGGCCCAGCCCTGATGGCTGGACCCCCATCCTTGGCAAGAGATGGCTTTCCCGTCAGCTGCTCCCTGCTCTTTTTCATCCAGAGATGCTGCTGAAGGCCAGCCCAGAATTTCTGAGTCTGCTCTGTCCTGCAGGAACCGCTTTCCCCAAAGATGCATCTCCCTCTCTCTCCCAGAAAGGGTGAGGCAACGGCAGCCGGTTGCAAAAGGGCCTTTCCCTTCTCCAGGCTGGCATTTTTCTGAAAGCTCAAACCTGTTGTAGCCACTGGCCGTGAGCCTCTCTAGGCACAGGACTGGCCACCATTGGAGACCGGAGGCTGGAGTTTGACAGACCACGAGATGTGCTCAGAATCAGATTCAAGAGACCGTCAGAGAAGAAAAGGATGGGATGCCGAACCTTCAGAGTTGGACACAGAGGCTTTTGAGCTGCAAGCCCTTCTCTCCGAAAATCTCTGTCAGCAGCCTCCGCTCACCCACAAGGTTGCTCTGGGGGGGGGGGGAGGAGGCTCTCCAAAACCACAGACCACCCAGAAGCCTGTGCTGACCAGATTCTGGGCTTTCTAAACCCATTTTGGAGGGGGGCAGTTTGGGTTACATCATGAGGACAGGTGAGGGGTCCTTGGGGAAAGCCCAGGTTGGCCCCGCCCTAAAAAAAAAAGCTGAGAAGGATCACTTTGTGTTTGGAGATTTTGCGTTAAGTGGGTCATCTCCCTTTTGAGGAACATTTTTGCAGCAGAAGAAAGGCAAGACCGTAGCGGGGTGGGTGGGTGGGTGGGTGGAGTGTTGCTGCTTCATTAATATTTTACTTTCCCTCTCCGCAGCCTGCCTGTCATTGCAAATGACCAAGAAGTTAATCCAAAGAGCAATGGAGGATGCTGTGATTTTGAACAGCCTGGCGTTCCAATTTCCCCAGCATCCTGCCTCCCCCCCCCAACCATCCGCCATGCGTAGTGCCTGATTCCCTCTCTCA